AACACATTTCCCCTTTAATGACTGTATTTGGATAATCAGTGCTTTTTCCTCCTCAGTCAGAGTTTGAGTAACAGACAGCTGGTGTTATTACAGCCATTCGAGAGGGAGTGCTGGGATTAGGGTCGACTGAGAGTCAACCACTGGAGGTCTCCTGCTATGGGGGCTGGATGGAAAATCAGTTGTTACGCAATAATGAGGGCACTTTTGCTCTGCCTGTTTGGGTCTTATATGTAGTCATATGTCTCTCTCTCTCTCTCTCTCTCTCTCTCTCTCTCTGTGTCTCTCCCCCCCTCCCCCTCTCCCTCTCGCTCCTCCTCCCCTTCTTGACACCCACCAGCACCATCTGAATCCAAAATACTCTCACTGAGGATCAGGAAGTTCTTTTGGGAAATGCTTTTTTTTTTTAAATGATGGTGGTAGAATTTGGGGAGATGGGCTGTTTGTGACTGGGTTTGTTTCTTTTAGGTGACTTTGCCTTTCAGGAGAAAGTTTGAAACCCAGCACATCTCTCTTTATAAATGATGTAACACATTAATGCACAGCACATTATGAAAATGGTAATTCAAACCCATAGTGCTCCAAATTAAACCATACATTATCGGATGCGCTCAGCCATCCATTCTGCAGAAAGACAGGGTGAAGTCAAATCAAACAGAAAACTGGAGAGCAGCTTCCCCTACAGAATGATTAATAAAGTGCAGTGCAGTGGTATTATTGTAAGGCAGATTCCACAGTAACCGAGCTCTACATCAGGAATGGAGTTAACTTCATCTATTTGGAGATATTACCATTCCCACCACATAAAATCAGAGTGTACTGGCCCAACCCATTTGACTTTGGCATTGCTAAGATGATGAGTTCAGCAACCCCTTTTTTTCCAGTTGGACCATGGATTTCCTTAAGAGACACAGATGGCTGTTCATGAAAAATCTGGATCCTAACTCATTAAATTAGTCCTATTAGGTCCTTCTTCCTCATCCCCTGACTGCCTCTCCAACTGCTGCCCACAAGGCCACAAAAATAACCAGGCAGGAGGTGTAAGAATATGACCTGGAGCCAGGAACATCCTTCCTGGTGCCTTGGGAACATCAGCCCCATTTTCTGGCTTCTGCTCAGGGACAGCGGAGGGGGAGAAAGGGCAAGGAAGGAGGGGAAAAGAGAAGGAAGAGAGGAAGGAGAAAGAAGGAGGGGGAAAGGAGGAAGAGGAGGAAATAGCACAGAAGGAGGAGGAGACAACTCCCTTCCAAAGGGGTTCTGGTAGAAGTAATTGGTGTTGATTCAGTGTCTTTGTAGAAGTAAAGCTCAGATATGCAGTTGGTAGTGAGGATCATCTCTATTAAGTGGCAACTTTGTTAATGAGAGTTAAGCTTTCTGCAAGTGGCAAACTCCCCACTGTCTAATTAAAACAGCTCACATATATCACCAGCTCACTAGCTAGGAGGAAGAACAGGCATTTCCCATCCTGAAGTGAGACATTCCAGGCAATGTCACCAGTCACTCGATATAAGAATGGGAGTTTCAGGATGGCCCCTTCCATCCAGGACTCATCTTTTCTATGCACCATGCTTAACTAGGACAGTCTATCTTATGGAGAAAACCCAGGGGAACTGATCAACTTACTTTGATATTCACACCCACCTAGAACAGAGTTGCTATTTAAAAGGAACCCTTTCACTGCATGGATAATGAAAGAATTTTTGGCTTTGAGTCCATCCTCTCTTCAAACTACCTAGAAAAGCACACTTTTTTTTGGGAGGGGGCTAGGCAAAGGGGTTAAATGACTTGCCCAGGGTCACTGAGCTAGTAAGTGTCAAGAGTTTGAGGCCACATTTGAACTCAGGTCCTCCTGACTCCAGGGCCGGTGCTTTATCCACTGTGCCAGCTAGCTGTCCTGAAAGGCACACATTTTGATACAAGAAGTGGGAAAGAGTTTTCTATTTATATGTAGTATGGCATAACTGGCATTAACGATCTGTGTGCTCTTGAATAAATCACAGAAGCTTTATGGGCTTCAATTTTCTTCTTCACAAAACAAACAAATAAACAAACAAAAAACAAAACAAAACAAAACAAAAACCCAACCAAACCAAAAAAACCCCAAAACACCAAAGAATAAAAAAAACCCTACCCAAACAAAAAAATCCCAAACCAACTAACCAAACAACCACAACGACAAAAAATGAGAGTGTGGAACTAGATATAATCTAAGGTCTCTCCCAGCTCTAGCGATCTATGAACTTACTTTAAAATTGATGAAAGAAAAATAGATATGCTTCTGGAATAGGGAGGATTTTTTCAGAAAATCAACCAGTAAGAGAGAAAAAAGCAAGGGATCCTAGTGGGCTGGGAAGAGGGAGGGCAGAGAGAAGCATTAGATTTCAGCTACCATTAGATAGACATATTTAAACTCTGGGAAATCTGGCAATACTGTTTCCCCAGGAATATCCTGAGATGAGAGTTGAGTGTCCTCTTGGGACCTTTTCCCTGAGTCATCTCCCTTTGATTCTCTGAACCTTGCTCTATGGGGCAGCACCAACTCCCATCAATCTAGGTTCAAGTACTCCTTTAGAAGTAAAGCAGCCTATTCCCAAAATTAACTAACTTTTCTAATAGAAATGTGAAGACTTTTCTGAAGAAAAACTTCAGTGTCCTATTGAAGGTATCAGGACTGAAGTTTGCCCAGTTTCTAGGATCTGGGTCAGGGAGTAAATAATTTACCCTGAAATCATGAGAGCATTATGGATTGGAATGACCATTTTTGCAAAGTGCTGTGAATTTGGGAAGTAGTAGAAAGAACCTGAGGTTCTATAGACAACTGAGTAGGCTTCCAATTCCTTTGTTGTTTGAGTGCTCAATATTAGTCACTTCCCCCACCCCAGGCTTAAATTTTGTCATCTGCAAAAAGAAGGGGTTGGATCTGGCTCAAATGAGGAAACAGTTTTACAGGCTCCTGCCTGGCACAGATCTTTAATGCACCTCTGTCCTTTTTGTACCCACACTGGGGTCAAAGCTAGGTTACTTGGTACCCTATATGTCCCTTTCTCCGTCTCCCAAGGGCACTCTTGGTTCAGGACTCACCTCAGGCCTGGGTTTTTCCCTGACTCCTCTCTCCCATAAGCAGGGACTGTGAGTGAAAGAGAGAAAGTGGATGAGAGCAAAGAAGGACACCCTATGCCCTTCATTTCCTTGGCTTTTCAGTCTACCCTCACTCATGGATCAGGACTAGGTTGGACCCTTCCCATCAGTCACAAGTAAGGCATTTTGGCCATGTTTACACTTACAATTTAAGTGAGGAATTGAAACAATTATCCATAACAAGCCAGATATCCCTTTGGTCTCTTCTACCTCATTTCTTTAATATTTAGATATTTTAGCCCCAACTGGATTTCAAGTGCCCACAATTGTCTATTTAGCTGATATTGTATTGCTACTAACTTGGAGATTATTGGGAGCAAGGAAAGGCTCCCCCTCTTCACTAAGCAGTGAGTTAACATTCTTCACGTCCTCCATCCTACCCAGCTGAATCTGCAATATTTTCTGCTCTACATTTCCAAGGCCGAAGGAAGTCTTTCACTACACTTAGAAACCAACAACAGGCCTGCCGTGGGTTGGCACCGACTCACTGGCTCCACCCCAATTCAGGTTTACTAGACAGACTGAGAAGGACCGACCTTAGCTCATAGGTGAGGGAAAGAACACATCGGAAAATCAGGAGAGCCTGTCAAGGAACTAGTGAATCTAACTCCCATCAGTTCAACCTGCCTGCACTCAGTCACTATCAAAGACTTAAGTCCTCCCACTGAGCAGAGGGGCTTCTTGCTTCAACGAATTGGAGGAGACTGGGCCCAGAAAACTGAAAACAAAGGCACAAGAGTATAAAGAAGCAGAGAAGAGACCTCCAGAGATATGGAACCTCAGATTTGGTCACTCTTCTTGGGGCTGGCGTGGAAACTCCAATTCTTCCTGCCTCCTTTCCTTATTCATGGTTTCTCAGAGCCTTCCCCCAGAGCTCTTGGAGTAAAAGGTTAAGGAAAGGTTGAAGGTGTATTATCTCCTTCGGCTCCCATACCCCAATCTGCGTATTACATTGAAACATGGATCTCCCCGGCCAGTCAAGAAGGCAGGAGAAGCCAACGTCAATCTTGAAAGCTAGAGAAAATAGGCTAGCAAGAAAGAAAACATAGCAGCCTGCCCTCTCCTTTCTGAAGATAGCTTCAAGTTCAGTTTTAGCTGCTGCGCCTACACAGCAACACCAGGGCTGCGCACCTGTCTCTGGAAAATCACTGGCCTTGCAAATTTCCCAACGCTAAAAAAACCCTGGCCTTGGCTTAGTGTAGTGCGGAAGCATTGCTAGGCAGCCGCTCTGAGCAGGTGTATTTTTCTTTTTCGTTTCCACCCGAGTAATGAGATTTTGGGGGGAAATTGTGGGGCAGGCGAGGCACAAGAAAAACAAACACCAAACAAGAAATATAATCATCCTGGATTTAGAGGAATACGAATTGTTCGAAGTGCCGTCGGGGCTGGAGTCAGCCTTTTCCGTTTTTTATTGCACTTATATACGCCGCTAGGTGGCGCCAAAGGCTTGTTGTCTCTAGGCACCGCCGCGCCTCGCCCAGCTCTTGGAAGGTGTAGCTACTTGGAGTTTGGGGAGCCCTTTTTTTCCTTTCTCAGCCCCTTTCACCTCGGATTTGGACCAGAGGAAAGTCCACATTCACATACGCCCTCCACCCAGGTCCCCCGAAATACCAAGGCTTTTGAAGTGAGGTTGGGAACTAAATAAATAAATGAAAAAATAATATTGTTTTATTATTTGTAACATATTGGGGCAAGGACTCCCCCCCTTTCCCAGCCCCTCTTCCTGGGGACTCCATTAAATTCACCTCTGTAAGGATCCAAAGAGGTAATCATTAAAAAAATTTAAACAATAAAAAAGAAGGGTATCTAACGGGGCAGGGTGGGGCGGAGAGAAAGACGATGAGGAAGGCAAGAGAGAAACACACTACGGTGTGAATATAGCCAAGTATTCCATTTATTAACAAAATAAGTCTTACCAACGGAGAGAGCTCTATTCATCCAAAACTGGCCCCACAGCCTCCGCGCTGCGCAAGACTGTGGGGGAGTAGGGGGAAGAATGGGAGGGGTTGGGGAGCAGGCTGGGGAGGCGGGAGGGAGTGTCATAGGTCACCTAGTAAGCCTTGACCGTTTGCCTGCCCCTGCTCCGGGGGTTCCGAACCAGGTGGGGACAGAAAGCTTGAGGCCTGTGGAGATTCGGATGGGGGTTTCTATCTCCCTCCCTCCAAATGTTTTCTCAATTGTATTAAGATCTCATTCGATTTTAAAACGCTGGACTGGTCTGATCTGGAGATGTCTGAGGAGAGAGTCCCCCTTTCTCTCCTATATAGCAAGGGTTGCTGCCCCAATAGGAGACTTAAAAGAAAGAAAGGATTATAAAGCACTTGGTAGACTAGAAAGAGCCAGGCCTTTCACGCGGCAGGCCCATCTAGAACTTTTAATTAAGGTGGGCCCTGATGGTTAGGTTCCCCAGGGTATTGTATTACTCATCCCTTTTGGCAGGGAGACTCCTGACCGTGTATTTTTGGGATATAGGGGTGAACGGAAATGTTCAGTTGGGCTGTTGGGATTCAATATCAGGAAACTGCTGCTAGAGACCCAGAGGGGCTCCTTGGCTGCAGGTCAAGGAAGGTTTCTGTGCCTTCAGGCCCAGTGCCTCATAATGGAGCCCCGAGGGAGGGAGGGGGAAGCAGTGCCAAAGGAGGGAGGGGCAGGCAAAGCCTAGGGACAAAAAGACAGCACTGCCGTCCAACTTTCGGCCTGCCTGACTCCCCTTTCCTCGAACTACGTATATATTTTTTTAAATCACCTCTGTTACCTGTACAAAGAAAAAAAAAAGGAAATGCCAATGGAAACAAGAGGAAAAAGGTGGACAGAAGGAACAATGCAGTTTCAAGTGTCAAGAATCATGCAAGAAACTTCCCAGAAAAGGAACAAAAAAACCAAGAATCCAAGAACCCCAATTCCCCCTCCTCCCAATAAAAACAAATCAATAAAAAGAAAGAAAGAAAGAAAGAAACCGGGGAGGGGGGGAGGTAGAGAAGAAGTAACTCTAAAACCCAAACCTAAGAGAAAAAAAGAAAGGAAGAGGTGTGGGGATCTTTTGATCACTTGATAATTATCATTATTATTATTATTTGGGCGGTGGGGGGGGGGACACAGACTTTTTGCATAACATTGACTCGTGGGCCATTAATGCACTTATATTCCCAGCTTGTAAGCTAATAGTACAGTAAATAAATACACAGTCCAGGAGGGTGGGGTCAGGAAGGGGAATGCTAGGAGGGAGGAGTGGTAGTGGAGGCTGCTGCCGGTGGCGGTGGTGGTGGTGGTGGTGGTGGTGGTAGTGGCCAGAAAGGAGGTGGAAGAGGAGGCTGGGCAGAGGGTAAGGGCAGGGGAGGAGAAGAGGCTGTAGTTACTGGTATCCAAGAGCGGAGGCTGAGGCTAGTCTCTGTCCGTAGAGCGCGTATGGCGAGTAGTAGGGTCCGGCTGTGGGTAGGGATGGCACAGCTAAGCCCCCAGGTGTGGGTAAGTGGCTCTTGCCATAGGGGTGGTACCGACTTAACCCCAAAGTATGTGGACTCCGCAAGGACAGCGACCCAGGGCTGCCGGGGGCGGCGGGTGGAGGGAGGTGTAGGTGACAGGAAGCTGCAGCCGCAGCGGCGGCCGCACTGCTCAGGCCTGACCCCCCGGGGTAAGCGGCTAGTAGTTTCTCGGCGCCGGGGAGGGCCGTGTGGGTCCGTAGGTGGCTGAGCAACTCCTCAGAGGTGGCGAAGCGCTTGTCACACGGCCCGCTGGCCGCTACCCAGTTGCAGCTGTGTGGTAGCGGTTCGTTCTGTAGCATGAAACCGTAGGTGTAGAGAGGATGTCCCGGGAGCGCAGCCTGCGCTGCGCTGGAGGAGAGGGCGGCGGGCTGGAGCGGATGGCCTGGGTAGACCAGCGGGTAAGCCCCCGGCTTTAGGCTAGGCCCGGCGGGTTCGTGCGCACTGCAAGTGGAGCAGCTGGAGCCGCCCAGGTGTGAGGAGGCGCTGTGGTAACCGCCCAGGCAGTAGGGGTCCCGGCATAAACCCTGCAAGAATGAGGGTGGCGAGGCGCCTGTCAGTGGACTGGAGCTAGGAGGCTTGCCGGGAGGCAGGCCCAGCCCCCCGGACAGCTGACCCCCCACCAGCCCGGATTTGCTAGGATCCAGACCAGGCACGAACTGGGACGGGTAGCCGGCGTAGGCGCCCACGATGGAGCCGTGATAGCCGATGCTGGAGGGTGGCAAAGGGAACACGGAGTGGCCGGGTTTGTACGGAGACACCGGCGCCACGTGGCCGGCGCCCACCAGAGCCGCAGGCGGCTCCGACTTGCGCCCGGACGAGCCAGCCTCTCCGCTGTGTGACGCGGGCTCGGCGCTTCGGCTCCCGCTTCCTGCCTCCGGGCTGGGTTTGGGGTCTTGATCTTTCTTGTCCAGGTCCCCTCCGCCCCCGCCTCCTCCGCCTCCACCGCCGCCGCTGCCCTTGCAGTCCGAATGGTGCGGTGAGCCGCCCCGGGAGTTGCCGGGGGAGGAGGATGAAGAAGAAGCTGAGACGGCACCTCCGTGCGGGGGGGAAAGGCTGGCAGGCTGCGCTGGGTACCCTAAACCCTGCCTTGTCTCCAGGGGAGGAAGAAGAAGAGGAGGAAGAGGTGGAAGAAGAGCCTCCATCTTTGCGGGAATCCCCGCCAGACCCCTTGGAGTAGGGTTTGAAGCTGGACTTGTCCTCCGTCGGTGAGTCCCCTAGCTGCTTGAGAGCCGCGGAAGCGGAGGAGGCGGCTGAGGCGGAGCGGCCAGAGTCCTTCTCCGGCCCAAGGCCGTTGGCCGCCGCCGCCACCGAGTTCAGCTTGGAGGAGGGTGGGTGGATCAGGTTTGCCGATCTGCGAGCAGGTTTGGGCCAGCAGCGCCAGCGGGCTTTTCTTGGCGTCCAGCTGCGAGAGACAGCGGTGGGGGGTGGGGAGGGTGGGAGGAGAGAGAAAGGAGGTAAAGGGACAGCGTGAGACAGCGAGACTAAGCGGATAGAGCGCGAGGGAGCCCTGGGAATATAGGGATGACGGTGGGAGGGAGCTAGGGACAAGAAGCGCCCACAAGGAGGGTGGAAGAGACGGCCGGAATTCTCCCTCCCCACCACGTGAGTTAGTAACCAAGATTTCTTAGGCCCCGGAGGAAGAGAAGGGGAAAGGCCACCTCACGGGTCACGTTCTCGGCCTGTTTGTGACTACCCTAAACATGATTGCCTGGGATGGGTTCCTGGCACCTTGGGTTCCAGGAGAAAGAGAACACCACCTCTCCTCTGAGGGTGGGAATGCAGGGGGAATAGAAGGGTAGAGAACAGCCAGTTGTGAAAGGGACTCGGCTTTTCTTTGCCTCCTAAAAGAGGAGAGCAAGGATCTGGCTCTTCCTTTTTCTTTCTTCCCCCACCCCTCTTCCTTCCATACACTTCATGTCCCGGGGAAAACTTATCCCCCAGTTAAGCGAACTTCGGAACGTGGAGGTCACTGGAGGCGCCTTGGGGCGTTGGAGTAGGGGGCGTGGATGATAGCATTCCAGGCGAGGGCCGGCTAGTGCACTCACTGCAGCGCCCCAGGGGAGGGCGCCCCAGGAACAGAGTGGGGAAGATTTTCAGCGTTTCGGACGCGGCCCCGAGAGTGGACTGGACGGGACTTGAAGACGGAGAGGTGTTTTTTGCAGGGGAAAGGGAGGACGGTAGTGGGGGTCAGTGCTGCATTTAAGCCTCTTTCGAGTAGGGGTGAAAGTTGGGGAGGGGTGAGGGTGGGGAGTACAGAGCCCACCGCAAGATCGCCTCTAGGAACCCAGAATCTGGGCCCGGCGTTGGCCAGGGAGAGAGTAAAGGAGACAGGGAGCAAAGAAACTGGGCAGAAAAACCTGCTGCCAGGAGGGATAAGCCTGGAGGTGTGAGTAGTGCTCCGGTATCAACCACTGGCCCGACCCCTCACCCACACCCCTGGTGCACAAGAGTGACCGGGTTCTACTAAGCGGAGCTCGGGGTCCCAGGGCATAAGGATAAGGACCAGGGTGAATTGGGCGGCAGTTTCAGGCAGAACCTACGAGGAATAGGTCGTGAGGAGTGGGGGTGGCATGGGGGGGGCGTTGCGGAGCAGGGACTGACCTCGATGGGGCTGACTGGAGTGGAGGAAAGCGGCTGCAGGTATTCCGGGTGCAAGAGGTGGCCGGTGTGCGCGCTCAGCATCTTCAGTACCCTGATGGGGAGTCGGTTCGCCTGCCGCAGGGGGTCCGCCGGAGGCAGGAGGGACACCGCCGCCGGGACCGCTGGTCTCTTCCCTCCTCCGCTGCTCTGACTGCTGCCGCTGCCGCTGCCGCCGCCGCCGCCGCTGCTGCTGCTTTCCGGTGTCCTTGGGTTAGATCCAGCGGGCGAATCGCTCATTTGGAGGAGGCAGCGCCACGGGCGGGGACGGGGGGGGCGGGGAGGGGGAGCACCGGGGAGGCGAGCTCCCGGGGCGGGCGGGCTCGCTCCGCAGTGCCGAGCGGGGTGCAGCAGCCAACCGCTCCTCCTCCTCCTCCTCCTCCACCTCCCCTCCTCCGCTGCCACCGCCGCCGCCACAGCCAGCACCGCCGCCGCTGGCCCCGGCGAAGAACACAAAAACCTTCCCCTTCTTCTAGCCACACGTCAAATACCCGCGATCGGCAGCCACACTTCAAAGGGATAGCCGCGCCCGCCCAATCGCTGCTCTCGCAGGGACCCCGGGGCGGGGAGAGCTGGCAGGCAGGGGGCCGGCCTCGCCGGGTGGGAGGGGAGATCCTTAAAGGAGCCCCGCTCCGCCTCCACAGAAGCCTCAGCTTCCCGGATTCAGCGGTGGTTCCCCCTTCCCCCCCACTCCCCAGTCCTCCACCTACCCTCTCCCCACTGGGCGTCCCTTGCCTCGGGGGTCCCTATAAGCACCGGGACACCTCTAGGAGTCAGAAGAGCGGATATCTGCTGCTGCTTGCTTCGTCCCTCTGGGTTCTCACCCCTTTCCCTCTTTCCACAGTAGGGGTGTCACGCGGGCCAAAAGAGGTGCTGGGGGGGCAGCTGCGCCCCAAGTTGGGGTGGGCACAGTAACGGGTCCCCAGCTTCTCTCGGATGCTGGCTTCAGAACGCCCAGGGTCAGTCAGAAACGGTGCCAGTGCTCCCCCGGGGGCGCGTTTCTGAGTCCACGTCTTCGTTCGGAGCCGACCTGGGAGTGTTAGCTCCTTTGGCAGCGGAGGGAAGAGAGAGCGCGGCGCCCTGGACTCAGAGGCACCTCCTGGCCCCGGGCGGGCGGTGCTGATCGGTCAGCTTGAAGTACTCTCTAATGATCTGTCAGGTCCCAAGCTGGCAAGTTAGGGAGAGGACCCACTCTGGGTGATGTCATCGCCGCGGCATTACCTCTCCTGCCCAGCCAAGGCTTCTAACCCGTGGGTAAAGCTCGCCTACCTCGTTCTCCCTTGCCCTGGCCTGCCTGATGCTCTGTGAGCGAACGCTGATTTATTACTCGGATATTTGAAGTGTTTCGTGTTTCCTTTCATGTCCTCTCTAGAGGCAGAAAATTCTTTCCCTCACTACCACGCCTGGCGGCTGTTTGCTGCTGCTTATGGAGTTCCGATCACTGGTGAGACCCGAATCCCGGGAAAAAGGTTTCTCACTGGGCACCCTCTCCTACCTCCCCTCACCCCTTCCACAGAGTTACAGAGACTTGAGTGTATATAGATGTATGTATGTATGTATATAAACACTTTCTCCCACTATGTATGCCCGTATGCATGTGCTTTCTTATGTGAAACAGGCATAGGGAAAGAATGGAAATTTTGGAATGATATGGAAAGAGCAGGCTGTGGAATCAGAAGACTTGGGTTCAAATCCTCCTCCTCTACTACCTATGTGACCAGGGACCTAGGCCTCGATAACTTTTCTCGGACCCAGTTACCACATATGTAAAATTGAGGCGAGAGTGAATTGGAGCTTCCTTCTTGATCTGCGATCATGTATATGTCCACAAAGAGTCGGGAACCCGAAAGATCACTAAGATGGGGAAATGCTTTCATACTGTGCAGACAGCATTCACCTCGGTCATTCACGGGGAAAACTCTTTAATTTTTGTGGTTTTTTGACAGCGGGCTGGATCTCCTAGCGTGCTATATCATTTCTCCAAATCAAGGCTTTAGTTTTCGTTGTTTTTTTTGTTGTTGTTGTTAGGTTTTTTTTTGGGGGGGAAGGTGTTATTGTTGTTGTTTGGTCAGGGTTTTTCGAATGAGGGTTGTTGAAGAGAAATGTAACAGAGAGAGGTATTGCCGAGATATAGTTCTTAGGACCACCCCTCTAAACTCCAGGCGCAGAGATGTCTTTTCTTGGCCCTCCCTTCAGCCACTGAAGAGTAGGTTCTATCACATGCTTACCTCAAATACTAGTACTCTACCAGCCATCATCAGGCACTCCATTTAAAAAAATAATAATAAATATACATATTCTGAACTTAAGAAATAAAACAGGCATTTCCATAACATAGTAAAATTTTTAAAAAAGAAATGATTGTACATGAAACCGCAAATCTGTTATGTACAACTTGCTATCCCTTTTGAATATATAATAAAGTTATCATGTAACTTTCTTTTTTCCTTTTTTTCTTCTTTCCTTCTCTTCCCCCTCCCCCACTCCATTTCCCCCCTAGACCTGTCACTTTGGCTGTGCAGTATTGTGTGAGGGATCCCAGTCCAGCCCAAAATGAACCCTTCTGTAGGGCTTAGTTCACATTATTCACTCTAAACAACCAAGGTATATTTCTGAAATCATAGAATTTTAGAGCTGGGAGGAATTTAAAGAGTCTTTAATAAAGATTACTTAGTTCTAGGTATAAGACAAAGGGAGAGAAGCCTTTCAAGGGAGTCCTTTAAGCTGAATGAAATATTTTTCAATCAATCAATTAGGTATTTATTAAGTACTTACTATGTACCAGGCATTGGGGATACAAGTACAAAAGAATGAAACAATCATTAATTGAAATAAACTTTCATCCTAAAGGAGGAAGACAATAAGTTCACACAAGGTGTCCCAAAGGTCTTAATATACTTGTATTAAGACTTTTGGGACACCCTGTATAAAATTTACAGCACAAATAGAAAATAAGCATGTTTGTATTTATAAACACAAATATTATTATACTGCTTATGTACGTACACACAGGGCCAGCTAGGTGGCACAGTGGATAGAGTGCCAGGCCAGGAGTCAGGAAGGCTCAGATCAAATTTAGCCTCAGACACTTACTAGCTGTGTGACCCTGGGCAAGTCACTTAACCATGTTTGCCTCAGTTATCTCATCTGTAAAATGAACTGGAAAAGGAAATGGCAAACCACTCCAGTATCTTTGGCTAGAAACCCCCCCAATGGGGTCATGAAGTGTCTGACATGACTGAAAAACAATCGAACAAAAACAGCATACACAGTAGTTAAATAAAAGTTAATTTGGGAGGTATACCACTGGCAGTTGAGGGGGCTTGAGAAAGGCTTCATGCAGAAGATGGTGCTTGAGCTTGCTAGTACACGGTTAGTACAAATGCATGGAGAAGGGAGATAACCAGTTTGGCTGGATCTCAGAATGTGGGAGTTAAAGTAATGTCCAGTGAGACTGGAAAGATAGTTTGAGGCCACGTTTATAGGATTTAAAAGCTAAATAGAGTAATTTCTATTTGATTGTATAAGCAATAGAAAGCCACTGAAGTTGGTTGAGTAAAGGAGTCACATGGTCACATCTGCACAAAAATTATTTTGCCAGAAGTCTGGAGGATTGGAATAGGGAGAGACCTGAGGCAGGGAGACCTATTTTTTAAAAAGTAATTAATTTTTAAATTTATGGAATAAAACAAGGATTTCCATAACATAGCATAATAAAAAAGATGATTGCACATAAAACTGCAAATCTGTTACGTACAACTTGTTATTCCTTTTAAATATATAGTAAAGTTATCATATAAATTTTTTCTCCCCCCCTTTTTTTTTCTCTCTCTTTTCTCTCCCCTGGAGGTGCTACTATTAAGGGGCTGCTTCAGTAATCTAGGTGAGAGGTGATGAGGGACTGTGTTAGAGTGCTAAAGAGATATTGTGAAGGCAGAAAAGGGAGGATCTGGCAGTTTTTTGGATATGTAGAGTGAGGAGTTGAGGATAATGCTGAGATTATAAATCGGAGATTTGTGGTGCCTTTGGTAGAAAGGGAAATTTGGGAAGAAGGGAGAGTTTACAAGGAAAGATAGAGTTGAGCTGTAGATATGTGAAATTTAAGATGTCTCTGGAGTATTCAGTTTTAAAATGTGCCATGAATGGGACGGAAACTCAGAGGGGAAGACTGGGGCTGGATATATAGATCTATGAGTCATCTGCATAGACATACTAGTTAAACTAGTTTGAGCTAATGATGTAGTAAGAGTAGACATATAAGAAAAGAAGGTCCAGGGCAGAATTTTGGGGAACATATAAGCGGAATGATACGGATGATGAGCCAGCAAACGAGATTGAGAAGAAACCGGGAAGTAAAAATCCAGAGAGAAGAGATGTCCAAGAGGAACGGGTGGTCTGCAATGTCAAATAGAGCAGATTGGTTGAGAGAGATTGAAAAAATCCAAGAGATTTAGCCAGTAAGTGATGTTTGATAACATTGAAGGAGTAGTCTCAGTTGAATAATGAGGTCAAAAGCCAGATTGCAAATGGTTTAAGAGTGAGTGAAAGGTAAAGAAGCCGAGACAGCAAATGGAGACAACTTTTTTTTTTTTGGCTGAGATAGTGAGAAGAGATACAGGAGATAGCTTGAAGGCATGTTTGAAGGGATTAGGGAGGGAAATCAGGTAATAGGAAGATGTGGTAGCTTTAAGAGAGAGGGGGAATGATTTAGGATGCAATCTGCTGGAGAAAACTGGACGGGCTGGAATCAAATACACATACACAGGGGTTGGACTTAGAAGGGCATCCTCTTAGAGTCTGGGGGAAAGGAAGAGAGAGTTGGAAATGAGGTCAAGGCTTTTTGAGATGAGGAAAGAAGACAAGAGCTCACTTTGAATGGCCTCAATTTTTTTTTCCATTAAAGTAAGAAGGTCTTTAAGTAAGAGAGAGTGCAGAGGAAGAGAAGTGGGGGGTATGAAGAGGGAAGAGAAGATTTGGAATTTTTTTTAATAGGGAATGAGATAGAGATTCAATTCAAGGAGGAATAAAAGGGCTGCCTTGCTTCAGTGAGGGCCCGGTTGGAGTTGGATGATAACGATTAATTTATAATGTACTTGATCAGCAGGATGGTGAGACTTTCTCTTACATTGTTATACAAATTATTTGTATTCAATTCAATTCAATTCAATGGTCATTTATTAAACATACTGTGATAGGCCCTGGGGAATTTGAATAAAAAGGGAAAACACTCCCTGTCTTCAAGGAGCTTTCATTCTAACTGAAGGATACAACTTGGGATCATAGGTATAGAGCTAGAAGGGACCTTAGAAGTCTCAAACTTTTTATTTTACCAATGAAGTAACTGTATCCTAGAGAAGTTAAGTGACTTGCTCCAGGTTACACTGGTAGAAAAGATAAGAGCTAGGATTTGAACTCAGCTCTCCTGTCTCTAAACTCAGAACTATTCCCACTGGATCACCCTATTTGGTGAGTAGAAGCTCCAGGTGGGAGATTGCACCTTGGAGCTGAATCATGAAGTAAGTTAAGGATTTCCTTAACTTCTCCTGCTATTTCTCCATAAAGGTGACGAGGGTGTATATTCCAGGACACAGAGAACAGCCTATTGCAAAGGCAAGGAGTTGGGAGATGGAAATTCAGGGAGCAACAAGTAGGCCAGCCAGACTAGAATGCAGAATAATGTGAAGTGGGTCTGGAAAAGTAGATTGTAGACACACTATAAAGTGCTTTAAATACCAACCTAACGGGTGTGTTTTAATCTCAAGGCAATAGAAAGCTTTCTTAAGCAAAGGAAGGTTATATTTTCATTGGATTGGAAGGAGCAGAGATTAGAAGCACGGAGATTAATTAGGAAACTATTGCAGTAATTCAGGTAAGAAGTTATGGGAGCTTGATGTAAGGTCATGAGTATGTGAATGGAGAGAAAAGGATGAATATGGATTAAGTCATGGAAGTAGAGCCAAAAAGATTTGGCAACTGATTGAATATAGAGGGCGAAGAAAAGTAAAAAGTGGAGGCTGACCCTGATATTGGTAACCTGGGTGACTGGAAGATGGTAGTGGCTTCAGAAGAAAGAGGGATGTTTGGGGTGGGGCAATGGATTTGTTGAATTTACAATACCTATGAGACATCTGGATAGAGACCTCCATTAGACAGTTGGTACTGTGGAGTTTAGCAGAGTATATATCTCTGACAGAGATAATAAGTGAACCCATGGGACCTAATGAGCTAAACAAAAAAACAGGGTTTAGAGAGAGAGAGAGAGAAGTGTAATGGCTACATTCTGGATATACTGCGCTATAAAACATGTATGTACCAAGATCGTGAGGTTAGGAAACCTCTTCTAATAGGGGTTGTGTCTGGTAACTGGGATCATCTCCAGGGGTGCCCAGTTCAACTACTTGCCCCCTCCCCTACATTCTTTCTTTTTATTAATTTTTATTTTTAATTTATGGAATAAGACAAGCATTTCCATAAAATTGTAATAAAAAAGATGATTGCACATGAAACTGCAAATCTATTATATACAACTTGCTATTCCTTTAAAATATATAATAAAGTTATCATGTTAAGTCTCCAAGATTCTTATACAAAAGAAATTAGGTTAGAATGAGCCTTAAGAACAGCCTTGAAGGGGGAAAAAAAGAAACAAAAAGACAGTTTTAAGGAAGAGGGGGAGGAAGAGCCTCAAAACTTTGCCTTGGCCATGCTTATGGAATCATATTTTTAAAACTGGAAGGCATCTTAGTTGTCTGTCTGGTCAGATCCTGAGAAACTGAATGAAGCCCAGACTTGACCAGAGTCACCCATGTTGTAAATGGCAGAGCTGGGATTTGGACCTGGGTCCCCGATTCAAAATCAGTGACTTGCATGGAAGTATAGTCACCTTATTACATTTGTGGATAAGAATCAGGAGGACAATAGGCATTATAAAAGTGTTGTAAAACAAACAATTTGGAAAAACTTAAGAACTCTGAACAATGCAGTGATGATTCCAGACAACAATGATGAGAAATGCTACCTGACTCCTAACAGAAGTAATTCACTAAATATGCAGAATGAGTTACACATTTTTTTTGGGACATGACCAATATGGGAATTTGTTTTGCTTGACAATACATATTTGTTACAAGGGTTTTCTTTATCTTATTTTTTTCTGATGGGGGTGGGGAGGAATGTGGCAGGGGGAAGAAATGTTTGATAATTGAAAATAATTAATTAATTTTTGGATGACATGAAGCTGGGAGGAATCAGCACTAAGTTTCAAGACATTATTAAGATGCAAAAAGATTTTGACAGGCTAGTATTGTGGGCTGAAAAAGAAGGT